ACTTTAGATTTTCATAACAAAAATTAAATGGATAAAATCTGAAGTGAATTCTATTAAATAATCATATCTAAAAAATAATAATAATTTATATTTTTTTAATAATTAAAAAATGTATCATTTTTTGTGGTACATTTAACCAATATTCAATATCACTTAGAAACAAATAACTTGTTGAAATAAGAAGACAATATAAAAAAGAATCTGTTATCTAAAAAAATTGAAAAATAACGTAAGAACTTAATTTATAAAGTAAATAAATAAATAGAGATATTTACCACTAGATTTATTAATTTTTTGAATGAAATTAAAATTAAAAATATACTAGAAGAAATTCATTTGAAAGAAACTTAGTAATAGACGTTTTGAACATGTATAAAATTTGATTTTTAAAGTTTAAATGAATATTGAATATTGGTTAAATATATCATAAAAATAATATAAATATATTTTACATCAAAATTCCTTTAAAAAATACCTTAAAAACTGAAGAGAGCATAATTATAAAAAGTAGTTAAATATTAAAAATTAAAATAATGTCAAGAATTTACATCATTTTTCAAATTAGTTTTAACATTAAACAAAGAAACAAATATATATATATATATATATATATATGTCTATATATATATATGTATGTCTATATATATATATATATATATATATGTATGTATATTTTAATTTAATATATATTATTATTACATTTTCCATTTTTATGAATGTTCTTGCTAAATTAATTGATAAAAAAATAGAAATATGAAAGGTTATTGTCAATGTGTTTGTATAATTTTTAAAATTGATAAGCTTCAAAATTTTCATTTTTTTCTTTGTATTAAATTCAGCATAATTTTTTGTTTAATATGTATTATTTCATATACTGAAACAACTTAATTCCTCATCACTCAATTTCTGTTAATTTCTGTACATTCAACCCAGTTATGCTCCCAGTTGACATTGCGTCTCTCTGGCTGCATCCCACAGCATCCGAACAATAAACTGAAGCACAGATGATAACCGCTCTTCCATTCTCACAATCACTATACCAACTTAATCTAATCTTATCTATCACCAAGCTTCCTCTAGTAATTCCGCCATGCAGACAAAAGCACTTCTGACATCATCGACGAAAATTGCAATATTGTCCAAGTATTTTTGACACTGATTCTAAAAAATATATGATAAAGAACAAAGGGGCTGGAATTGAAGCCGAGGTACAATGAAATTCTCTTCAAAAGCATCACAATTCAAACGGTACAAATGCTTGGCAAAACTCTTTACTATATCTCTTGCAAAAAGGGCAAAATGTGATCAAGGAATTATGGGGTAATGTTACAAAGGGCATGTGCCCGGTGCCCTGTCCTGCTTAAACAAAAGGTTGAAATACAAGGGGGAAAGAAGAAAAGATGAACTCTACTTTCTTTGTGGCTCTAAAGCTCTACATCTAGCGACTAACGAAGCCCACTGCCCCCGTTGTCAGGATCCCTTGATTCGATGGATCCTAAATGCTCTTCGGCTGCTGATGGAGCTCTGGACAACGCACCTAGCAGAAAAGGATTAAGAGCAGGATTTACAAGCATGCGCTGCACATCAGAAGGGTGCATGAGCCCAGTTCCAGCATACCAAGCGCCAGGGCTTACACCCGGGTGGTCGGCAAGATGAGAATAGTGTTGAGTAAAATACATGCCACTGTCCCGCACACACTGTTGCAACAGATCGCCCCCACTCAAGTGGGCTTGCGGGGCAGCTAAAGGGCCAGCTAGGCCCACACTAGCATCGGCTTTCAAAGTATCGACTGCGGCACCATTAGCAGCTTGCCGTATGAAGTTTCCACACTGATGGTCCTCGAGTCTTGGAGAACCAATGCCAGAGAGTAAACTGCGACTTTGATGCAAATCGGCAACGGCCATCAACGAATTCATCATGGTCCGCGGTACTTGTGGCCCGTTGGCTAATAATCCGGCTGCTTTCATAGCAAACGAGTCCATCTGACCCCTGCTACTTCTACCGCAAGTAGATGGCCCTCTCTCACAACCGCTGGAACCAATTGAAGAGCTCTCGTTTCTTCTCTCGAGTTCGGGTCTTGATGCCTCCACCGAAGACACAGAAAACCCACCACCTCCACCTTGCTCATTCAAATAAAATCCGGGATTGTTCAATGAGGGAAAACCCTCGCTTCGTGAATGCTCTTGAATATTGCGCGAATGTTCAAGAGGCTGAAGCTTGTAAGAGTTGGTAGGTGTGCTCTGTCCCGGTTCAGCATCTCTGGCTTCTCGAAACATGCGGCTTTCCTGCATGTTGTGAAGCTTCGACTCTCTTTCCTTCGACTTCCACAATGGACCTGCCTGAAGATGCATGCCATTCGCGATGTTCCGTGTTTCTATGCTCCCAAGATTACCGAGTGAAGGCCATATACTTTGTCGACCATCAGACATGGAAGACATACCACCAAAAGAAGTCTCACTCCCGTACACTTTAGATACTGTTGCAGCTGGAACTGAAGTGCCCGTTGTAGAGGATAAAGTCATCGTATGAACAGGTGACTGCTGCAAAGAGACTTTGTCAGTGGCGCAAGGTGCAGCACGTGCTGCACTCTGGAGTCCCGCGCTGCAAGTTGGCTGAGACAAAAGGGACTGACCAAATAGCTTCACATCACCAGGTCGAGTTTGCGGGGACTCTGTTGCAGAAATTGGACTTGGCCTTAGTGGGACTGCTGTTTGTGAGGGTGGGGCCCTCTGAACTGCGCCACTAAGTTGATGGAATTCAGCTCTTGAGAAATCTTGTCCCCTAGGTCCTCCTGTTATCACCCATCCCACAACTCAGTGCTACAATAGAGACCATCAAATGGGGAATCGAAGAGGTTTAACACCTAAAAATGTAGCGAGCAACACTCACAAGATAAACAAATAAATAAATAAAAACTTTCTCCCGTTTTGTGCCCTCACAAGGCATGCAACAAGCAATACGACAAATCGCAAACAAATCAAAGATAAACCTACCGTTACTGCAGCTTCCCCGAAGCTCTCCACTCTCCACCTGCTGGATCGAAGCATCTTCACAGTGGCTTGATCCAGCACTCCCTTCATTTACTCTTGATGAGGTTACACCAGCTCCATTGCGCTCCTCATGAACCGCAATTCCTTGCTGCAACACAGGCGCTAATGGGATTTTTGATAGATGTTGAGGCAGTGGCATGACTGCAATTGATTTTGAGGACGACACCAGCGACGGGGGTAAAGGGGCGTGGGAGCTATGATGTTGATGAATAAGAGCCTGAGCTTGAACGTGATCTTGTTGCTGCTGAAAATGTTGAACGGTTTGCTGAAACTGCCGCACGAATCACAAGATGAAAACTCAGCCAAACCAGTCACAAATATCAAAACCCCATTACCTAAAACACAATATTCAGAACAAAGGAAACAACGAATCAAAGGACAGAAACACCCAACTTACCTGCTGATGCTGTAGTAACGCCTGATACTGCTGATGCTGACCGCCAGCTTGATGTGCTTGAGAATGATGAACCACCTGTGGACTCATCAGCTGCTGCTGCTGACGCTGGGCAACTTGACCAGGTTGAAGTAACACCGCCTGTCCAACAACGTATTAGCTACGTTACTTTCATTCCTAAATTCACTCCGCCAATTTCATCCGACCACTACACGTGCAAAATCCATCTGTACCTGCTGAAGAGAATGAACCACACTCTTGCTGCACGGATGCTGCTGTTGCTGAAGTTGTGCTGCCGCTTGTTGTTGCATCATGTTTGCCAGTAGCTGCTGTTGACTTCGGGCCGCCTGCAAGTCACAGCAATTCATCAGCGCTCATCCCCATCCTCACCATCTCACACCTACTCAAAACTCCTTCCTGCATCCTACATCCACATATTCCAACCACTACTACCGATCCACGCGACATACTCTTCAGCCATACAACACCACCTTCTCCAACTACCCCGTCACCTCAAGTTGCAAAACCAACGCTACTCAGCTGCCAAATCCATTATCTGCCACCCTCTCCACACCTGTGAGTTCAGCAATTGATGCGCCCCTTGCTGGTGAAGATCTACCGCACCGCTTTGCTGACCCACTCCCGGCCCTTGCAACGCCAGCTGTAGCCCCATCGACTGTGACGTCTTTTGAGACATAGACGCTGCAAACTGCTGCTGCAAATTCGGAGGTCCTGCTCTTTGCAGCCCTGGGTCCGGAAACACTCCCAACCCCTGTTGCTGCAGTAACGGATGTAGCATTGGCGGGATGTTCTGCGGAAACCCGTTCGGGTTACACAACTGCAACTGCCGTATAAACTGGTGCAACGCCATCTGGTCTTCCACCCGCTGACCAAAAAATGGGTACGCCAGGCCCTCCAGCCCCACCGGAATCGTCCCCATACCCGCGCTTACGCTCATGCTTGGAGGATCGCCCATCCCACCTTTCACCTTCTGACCACCGCCATCCACATCACCTCCACTCACAGACCCACACTTCGACTCGATTCTTCCGTTCACACAACCCACATTGTTGCTCATGTTGTCCACCTCCTCGGCTTTCCTCTTCCGGCTTCCGGACCCCCTTCCTCCGCCTACACTCACGCCCTCCGAATTCACAAGCCCCAGTTTTGCCTTCGAATTCTGAAAGTACGTCTTGATCTGCGTTAGAGACTTCGTCGGCAAACACTCGTGCAGTCTCGTCCAGTCCTTCCCATGGTTTCGTATGATGTCCGCAAATACCTCTTTCTCCTCCTGAGTCCAAGACGTCGGCTCTCTCCTAGACTTTGCTTCTCCGCTTCCAACCCTACCACTTTTCTCCCGACATTGTTGACTACCGTGCATCGACGACGTTGTTGCATATGCAGCCTTACCTGAATGGCACGCGCCCTCTGCTCCAATTGCACAAGAACCCGATTCTGTGCCTGTGGATACTGCCATCTGAGGTGACCCTGCCTGATGCTTCACATCCACAGCGCCACTCGCCTCCACTATCTGCTCCTCTGATGCAAGGATGCTTGTTGCTACCACCGTACCAAGACCCTTGTCGTCACCTGCATCCACTTCCCTCTTTACAGATTCCACCACGCTTTCTGCACCCTTAGCAACTTCCACCGCATCTCCCTCCTCCTGCATCCCACAATCTGCTGAGCTCCCTGAACTATTGCCTGCAGGTAACTCCTCACCCGCATCGACTGTCAAAGGCTCTGAGACTACTCCTTCATCCACAACAACTGGCTCAGCCTTTATACACGCGGCAACTACGTCCTCCGCCTCTCCTGTATCACACTCATTCATGGAACAAGCTCCAGCGCCCACATCAGCTTCTGCCTTCTCCAAGTTCTCCACAATGTCTGGGCTTTCTAGCGGACAAACAGCACTCTCGACTGTCAGGTCCATTGACACACCAACAAAGTCGACAGTCTCCACTACTTCGATGACGCCCACTACACCCTCCTCTGCTACATCATCCACGGTTTCGTCGTCCACAACCACATCCTTGACAGCTCCATGCTCCACTGCCTTTCGAACAACGCCCTCATTCTCTACTGTCTTCACCTCAACGCTCCCATCCTCCCCTGCCTTCTCCTCAATACTTCCATCCTCCCCTGCCTTCTCCTCAATACTTCCATCCTCCATTGCCTTCTCATCTAAGAGATCTTCAGATAATACCTCCTCCACTGCCTTCTCATCTGAGACAACTTCAGATAATGCATCCTCTACTGCCATCACAATTGCTACATCCTCCACTGTTTCCTCCTTCACTGCCATCTCAACTTTAACGTCCTCAGATAATACCTCCTCCACTGCCTTATGGACTGCTGCATTGTCAAATATTTCCTCCTTCCCAGCCCTCTCGATTGCTACACCTTCACATAATCCCTCCTCCACTGCCTTCGCAACGACTACATCCTCACATGATTCCTCCTCCACTGTCTTCTCAGCTGCGATATCCTCACACATCTCCGCCTCTACTGCTTCCGTCGCTTGAATGCTCACGTCGTTTGCAACCTCCTCCACCTTACCGCTCTCAGTTGCTTCATTCCAAACCTTTTCCTCTCCCAAAGAAGGATAAATGTTCGCTTCCAGGCTAGCCACCAGCACGACCTCGGCTGCTGCACCCGGCACTTCCTCCATCTGTACGTCAATACATTCTGGGCTCTCTGCAACTGCTGCATCCGCGCTAAAGTTCAGAGCAGCCTGGTGCTTCTCCACCAGCTGGTCCAGCCTTAGGCGCTTCCGGGTCTTGCTGAAAAATGACTTACACTGACCTTCACTCTTCGTTGATCCAACGTGGGCAGCAATGCTCTCAAAATCTCTTCGAAACAATCTTACGGCTTCTGTAAATAGCTCCCGCTCCTTGTCTGTCCATTGCGCATCAGTCTGAACGAACACAGCCACACCACACACAACTTTCAGACTCTACCGTATAACCACCTACATGTATGTCCACACGATGCCCATCAAATTCATTACCCACACAACCCCCACACCTTCCAGCAGCTCATTTATTCTCCCTAAAACGCCACGACCCCTGCATTCGTAGTCCACAAACATGGTCCTCGACACTACACTGCAAATCCTCCACTCCCCATAAACCATCCAAGTTCATCACCATCCCCGTCCCTTCATCCCACCTCTTCCCCGGCAGACGTCGTCAAACCCCGTCGAATGTTTACGCTCCGCGCACCCTTCGGTCCAGACATCTGCTGCTCTTTCGTCCCGCTCCTTGCAACCGCTGAACCTCCGTTCCAGTTCGACTTCACCGACGTTCTTTCTCGGCTGACCTTCACAGAAGCTGCGGTTGCGGAGCTTAAACTGCAAGACCCCGTCGTTCCAGAACCCGCTGCGCCGCTCGGCAATGGCGGTATTCCAGACGGCCTGCTTTCCTTGCCGCTCGTGGACTTCGCAATCTCAACAACTGCAGGTAGGCTACCGGGATCCAACGACGAGCTCGTCCGCTGACGCTCCAAGGGTTTGTGATGTGTGCTGCTCCTCGCGGCTTTCGCACCCACTGTGATCTGACAAACCGTCGAAACAGCACCCGACGTCTGCATGTTCCAGCCTTCGCTCCGTGCGTCAATGTTTGCCTCTCTTTGCCGGCTGTTCGGCTGCAACCCTGTCGACAGGAACGATCCGCCCAACCGCGAACAATCCCGCCTTTTTTGCAGCTGCTGCCTCCGCCTAATCTTTTCAAAATCCTCCGACTTCTGGTTCCGACAGTAGAACTCTACGCAGTCTGCAGTCGTCTTGTACTCCAAGTGGGACGCAATCTTGCTGAAGTTCTTGTTATAAACCGCAAACTTCTCCAAAAACACCCTCCTCTCTTCCGCCGACCAAGGATTCATGCTCTTCCGCTCCGACTCCACCCGGACTGGATCCTCCACCAGCGCATTGTTGCTCTCGAATCTGCGAGCCAATCGCTCCCTCTCGCCCAGGATCATTGCCGGCATCTTCAACGCTGGCCTCAGCGGACCCACCACCGGTTCCACCATCACCCTCTTCATGGACTCTTCAGATTGAGCTTCCAGCTTCCCGCCACCTGCAACCAGTACCCACCACAGCATCAGCGCAGCCCGATCAACACCCTGCCATTGCAACCACTCACTCGCTTCCCACATACATGCTAACCCGCATTCATCGACGTTGCTCAAATGCACTTACGGGACTCGAAACTGCATCCAACACACGCCCCACTCTTGCCCTCGTATGATATGCACCAGGCTCGTACCAGGCTCGCCGAACAAAATGCCTACAACACTCATCTTGCTTCAACAAACCCTTCACTACCTGCTTGGACGGGTCTCAATCGCAGAGATGACCGATGGCAACCTGCAGTCCCGCCCCGCTTCTCCGCCTCCCACCTGCGCACAGGCTTTGTACCTCTCTGCTGCTGGCTCGTCCCAAACTGTTCCTGCCTCCAAGCATCTTTCAGTGCTCGAAACTTAATCGTCAGCACTTGCTCCACAAACCTCGCGGATTGCCGTCGCTCTGCTATCTTCTCCAACATCTTCTCCTGGTTCCGAACGTGCCTTTCGACGTTCTCTTTCCACACAGGTGCTTCGACAGGACAGCTGTACACCTTTCCTTCTCCACGACCTCCCTGGCTCAGAAGGTGCAAAAATGCCTCAGATGCATGCCGAGCTTGGTCCTTATTCTCCCCTATCAAACCCCTCGCAACCGCCTCAACATCGCCCACTACCATCGCTGCATCTGACGATTCCATCTTTGCAATCGCCGACTTCGACACCCGCACCTCCACACCCGCCCGTTCTCTGAGCGTCATGTGTGGCAAATAGACTTCTGCACTTGGACTAGACACTAGGCTCCCCTCACCCTCGGATTCAACCATCGTCTGATCAGACGTCGCTTCCTTTTCCCCTTCATGCGACTGCCATTCCTCCATAACTAGTACTTCATTCTCCATGTTCCTGTGCTTGCTCCCCATCGCTTGGTTGCACATAGGGGGGCCCGCTCCCACAGCAGCTCCGGTTTCAAGGCTTGAAACACTGTGTGAAATGCACTCGGCAGAAACTGAGCAAATCCGATTTGGAAAACTAACAAGGATCAGCTGGGAACTATCTCGACACTCCATAGAGCCCGCATGCGAACTCACTGCGTTGTCAGCCAAGACCTGGGGACCATAATCCCCAGGCTCCAGCTTCGTTCCGAGATCTGCATTCGCTGAATTCTCAAATATTTCAGGAACTGGCATATGTGTATCATTTCGTAAGCTCCCGAATCTTTTCGAAGTGGATAATTCTCTTTCCACCTGCTCGATCTCAGACTCGAGTTTCTCGACTCTCTGCAGTATATCCTCTTTGGACCACCAAGTCGTATCTCCAGTCGAACAGACTTCCTGAGTCACCTCCACACCACAGCATTGTTCAACTGAGCATGGAACTGTTGGCGAGGCTTGGCAGCTGTTAGACTCTTTCCAAGCAGTGGGCTTCTCTACAGGCTCCCAGGAATAAGACTGCCTCACGCTCAGTTCCAAGCTACACTCCGTCAACGCACACACATCAGCTGTCTTCACCAAATCCTCCGCCCGAACGCCAGGAGTGGTAAAGTTCGAAGAGGACCTTACTGCTTCATCTGCCACCATCTCACAGGCCTTACCTAACACCTCCTCAACTGCTCGACTCTCCACACTCGACTTCGACACACCTGCTGGCAACGACACATCAACTCAGCATAACTATCAAGTGTAGACATCTGCTCGAAAACAAACTACACTCTCAAGACTATTCTCGAACAGCTCATGACGGACACTGATTGTGCATCACTCATGCCCAAAGCTGACAACAAAAAAAACTGCCGCCATATTAAGATACCAAGTAAATATATCACGTCCGCTTGCAGCAGCGTGACAAGAGGTGGTGAGAAAGACAATGAACTTAATGCAGCAAAGCGTACTTTCCAGTGCCTTCTGTAACGGTGAACTAGACACCTTCGGCAAGGGCAATGTAGACAATTTTGATATAACAGAGACGGAGCTTTCCTCTGCCGCCTGCAACCCCAGCATCTGTACCACTTCGGTTTTCACACCAGATACAGCGGTGACGCTCGATCTTTTGCTTCCAGACGCACTATCCACCGAACCAGAGACAAAAATGTCGTCCGTTTCCACAACCTCATTCTTCTTCTCATATTTTGCAAGACCTTGGCCCCAACCCAGCCGAGGCCGTTTTGCAGGAGAAGGATGATTTCCATCGTCACGGCTCACCTCAACTAACGCTGACGGTGTCGAACGTAGGGAAAGTTGTGGGGAAGATGGACTGCCAGACACATCCAACACCGGAGGCCTAACCACTGACTCCTTCGAGCATCCATTACTTGCGTTTCGTGATGCACTGACGGAAGTGGATCTCTCCTTGCGCCTCCAGTCGAACCCATTAGCGGACACCTTGCTTCCACACATCGTATCACCGGAGCACCTGTCCCAGCTACTGCTTCCACATCTGTCGAGCTTACTTCCATCTGAATCCTTATCCACTTGGGATCGCTCCCTTCCTTCCTCAAATTGAGAAAACCTGCCCTCCCGTCTGCTGAAAGACTCCGCCTTTCCCAACAACCTCTCACGGTGTTCCCTTTCAGACCTCTGAGACGACTCCCAACCATTGCCATCCTGCCCCTTGGGTCTTTCCCTCTCCCACGAAGTGTTCTCTACCTCGGTCAGAACTTGAGAAGGATATAGTCGCACGTGCTGCACATTCACGCCAGAACTACCCCCATCCCTGCCATCTCCCGACGTCAGAAACGATCCCTTTCTTTGCCTCTCGCCCAGTTCCTTCGAGCGGTAATCCAGACCAGGACCACTACTAAAACCCGTATTTACTACGGGACGTCCCGATCCTAGATAAAAGGACTCTTGTTCAAATTTGGGTGCCAACCCGTTCTCCAGAGGAACAAAAGAACCAAAAGAAGGCTCTCCTCGTTGCCCTGCCGACCCATAACGCCCATTTCCGGCGTGAAAACCAATATGTCGTCCTGAGAGCACGAACAAGATAACAAAAAAAATCACAAAGATCATTAGTACATCTGCTACGCATTCAAAGAAGTCTCAGACTGGCATACGCAGCAGAGCTAACAAACTGGCACAAAGTATTAGAAACACGCTAAAATATACGGTAATGAGATTCGGAAGTCGCAATCATGTTCACACACCATTCAGCCGACGCTTGCTTGGAGGGCCAAGATAGCCGTTCACAGGGTGCAACCCACCGAAACCTCTTTGGTAGGGTGCTCCTGGTGAAGCCCTGTCAGAGTTCCACTCTCTTTTCCCTCCAATAGTCCTCTCCCTATCTCCTCTATCTAACCTCACGTCCCTGTTGTAAGGCTCTCTCTGCCACGCTGATGAATGATCGATAGGCATGGAAGTCGACGAGTCGCGAGCATTGGGCAGTGCGGTTGCACGGGCATCACCCCTGCCAGGGCTATACATCTGCCCTTCCCGACCACGTTAATCCTCTGAAACAAAGCGCCCATGCGCACACATTGGAACCGCCTTTCGCTCGCTGCAGAGCCCACCCGCAAAGTAATATGCTATCTTCCTGGCCCACACACCACCAACGCTGGAGTTTCCACACTTTCTCATGGACCGTGAACCAACATCCACTTTCCCGAGTTCTTTTTGGGCGTCGGCGTAACCTCCTTTCCTGCACGCAAATCAATCGATCACATATATTGCACTTTGCCAAATAACCACACTTCCACGACTGTGACAGCTTCAACGTTCAGTCGGGGCACATCGCTCATTTCCGAACCAAGACGACGAAGCACTGCCCGTACCAACGCGCAAGATATGGAAGGGTAGCCTACACATACTGTGCAATACCATGTGCCACAGCTTTTGGCAGAGAAAGTATGGGCGTAGCGACCTGCAAATCCTCCCTCGAGACAAGACCTAGCCCAACGACGCCCACGCGGCGACTTCTCACAGAACACTTCTTCAAATTTGAGCATCAACCTTCGTGTGGTATCTTGCCCAGGGAAAGATGGTAACCAGCAAAGCCACCGATTGCACTAAGATTAAGACCCCATCAGCACCGGCTTTAGACATGATGATCTTAACATCTTCAGGCTATTCTTCCCAGTATCTCTTCCAGGAAACCACAATTCCCAGCGTACCTTCTACGAACCACTTCAACCGTTTAACCAGACTTCCCAGCCCTCACCGACTACAATTTGAAAGGTGCGAAGAGAATGGAAGCACAACGCCTTACCTGTGGATACAGAAGAAGCCCTCCGCTTCTCCCCTTGCAGACCATCAAGTTGGAACGTCCAGCAACCAACCCACATCCCTCCCACTCCAAAAAAACCGCCGACTTCTAACGCTGGCAATCACCAAGGACCACTACGACCCCGTGCCATCGGCTGTCCCTCACACCCCTATCCACTCCCGGCATCATGCTCACTATGTATGCACCGTCACAACCTCACATCACAAAACACGCACCCTCTCTGCACAAGCACGTATCATTGCTCCTCTGGTCACACCACCTACCCTTCCAACCAGCCTCCTCTGCATCTCCCACCCGCACCCCTACGCCCTGTCTCTGCAATTCCACTCGCACACTGGCCTAGTCCTCCTCGCCATCATTCGGCACGCAAGCTGCGCTACGCCTCCAGGCATCATCCTATCAAACCATACTCTAAGCCATCTCACGAACGCTGAAGCGCCCTACCCTGGAACACAGCACAAGCGCCCTCTGTCCCGAAACCACACCGCAAACGAGCAAAGCAGCACTGCCACGCTCCCCCTTCTTCTCCTATCCCTTCCTCCAGACCTACGTAGTGGTCATTCTCTCGCGCTCTCTCTCTCGCTCTCGCCCCTCTTGCGCAATCCCGGTGTCAATGCAGTCGTCGCCCTCCTAAAAACTTCCTGTGATGCGCCACGGAGTAGTGGCGAGGAGGAGGGTAAATGCTACAATGGGACATGGTGGCAGCGAGGAGGGTTTGATGATTGGGGGTAGCCTCTAACCCCAAACCATATAAGGAGCCAAATAAATAAATATGTATGTATGTATGTATATAAGTATGAAAAGAGGATGGTTGAGCTCTCTATGTCTCCTACTACACTATGGTGTTCCTTACTTACTTACTTACTGCTCCTAGCTTATGGAACTGGAGGCGAGACAAACGAACAAACAAACAAACAAAAGAAAAGAAAAGAAGAGAAAAGAGAATAGCAAGCTCATCCCAACCCGGGAAACCCCGCGGACTGCGACGCGAACCCTGCGCTAGGCTACAGGGCGATATCCACCTTTCAGCACCCTGTGCCCGCTGGGGGACCTATCTCCACCACCCTGTTACGGCGGGTGAAAATTGAAGAAAAAAAAGTACCTGGTGTGGTAAAAGAAAAACTCCACTACACGAAACTTTTTCACCCTGCGGCTTGATTACCTCGAGCAGTCTCGTGAGAATTCAGAATATAAATTGTTGCAGTTCGCCCATGAAATAGGTGGATTTTATTCAAAGTCATTCACAATAAGTGATTAAATTTAATGGTAGTGTACTCTTTGGATTAAAGCACGTAACCGAATAATTTATTTTTTCATTTTTGTTTTTTGTTTTGAGTTGCAGAAAGAACAGTCAGTATAATTAAGGAATGAAATATATGGTGAATCTTAAATTGGATTGGAAACACTTAGATTGGACTCACAAGATGAGTGGGAGAATTACTTCAAATCACACCATCACTTAGCTTGTGTTTTGTGATTTTTAAGTTGATTTATCATTTTATTTTGTAATAATTGTATTTCTTGGTGTACACTAAGTGATTGTTTAAATTCATATGGTATTCATTGAAGAGTTGTGTATGATTTTTGTGATACATTGTGATTAAGTATAATTAAATGATACTTTTAATTATGCCACCTAAATATATATGTTAAAATAGGTATATATATATATATATATATATATATATAAGCTTACATGAAATAACATTTGATTCATTCATACACTTATTTCTTATAAATCTATAAATGAAAAAATATTTAAAATTTATTATTTAATTAATAAAAAATAATTTTTATTAATGCCATCTTTTAATTATTCGAGCCAGGCACAAAATTAGACATATTGATATTTAAAAATGAAATGTCTAGTTTACACTTAAACATATTAATATTTAAAATTATGTAACAATATCTTTAATGTTTAAAAAGTTTTGATGACCTTATTATCGAATGCAATGTCTTTCTATTTATATCAACTGTATGAATAAGAATATAACTTAATATTGCACAAGGTAAAGTTTAGTAGAATTTCACAAATTTTAAAACCTATCATGTGTCTTTGATTGATAGAATTCGCATGTATATCATACTGCTCTGCATGGGATTTGTAAAAACAAACCTTTTAATAACTAAATAAATATATCACTTTAATAATTTAATTTACTTTTTATAATTTTTTATTTTAATGAATTTTTCAATATCAAATACATGTAGAATTGACGTTCTTTTTATATCATTAAAACAAATTAAGATTTTGTCAAAAGAATTATTCAAATTCTTTCAAAAACAATTATTGCACATACTCTAGGCTCTCATGCATGAGAATATTTCAGTTTGAGGTCATCATGCATGAAAGAATTAAGAGTTAGAACTATACTTGCAGATTTAGAACCCTGATTTTGTTTGTGCAAATTTCTTTGTCTCACTATTTTTGAGATTCACGTGTAAATGCTTCTATTTGACATACTTAGCTTTGGATCTTTTGTTGCTAATTGATGACTATTTGTAGATAGATAAATAAATATAATAAAAAATAGGTGGATGTTTTATATTTTTTTATTTATCCTTGTTTTATTATACAATTTTCCTTGATTAAAAAATTAATTTAAAAAATAATAATAATTAGATGATAAACTTGGTACTTCTAAATTAAATAAGAGGATAATATTTCAACTACTTCATGACTATCTTTGGCAACATTGTGGTCCTGGATGTCTTAGTTTTGTATTTGTGATATAGCAGCTAAGTCTATAAAAGTTTCTAGCATAGGTTATAAGAATTATTAATATTGTAAAAGTGAAAGATTTTTTTATGAAAACTTCTAAAATCCTTAAAAAAAAAAGGGACTTGAGTGGTTATTAAAGGCCAGAAAAGTTTTTACAAGATTGTAGACAATCCCTAAATGTTTATAAAAAGCAATTAGATATTTTAAAATCTCAAAGAAGATTCTAAAATTTTCAAAATTCTTCAAAAGATTTTAATGTAAATGATTTCAAGATTAAACAATATTGATAATATTCTAATATATTGTTACAACTTTAATTGGTTATTTATTTGTAATACATATCACATAGTATAACAATAAAGTTTAAAATTAGTATTATTAGTATATAAAAAACCACACATACTATAACTCATAGGTATAAATTTATATCATCATTTTTTAATAGTTTTACCAATATAATCTTAAGCAACATTGTTCTTTTTATAAAAACAATGTGTGTGTTCTATGAGATATTATCAAATTTATCCACTTCTATTTATTTCTATTTAAATCTTGTTATCTTTACTAGTGTCAATGTGCTTATGAAAAAAATACAAAAATAATATGATATAAAATTAGACTAGAAAAAAAATAATTTTACAATTAATAATTGAAGAGTGTATATATCAAAAGCTATCAATGAATTATGCAAAGATCAAAGAATTGTCTATCATTTTAATACTCTAAAAATTCTTTAGCATAATAAAGTGACAAAAAGATTGAATTGAATCTTTTTAGAAGAAAGAAAAAATATATAAAGCAATATTGGATTAGAAGGAAATTTTTTATTTTAAGCTATCAATACTAAATTTGCTTTAATATTTATTATTATTATTATTTTAAATTTTCTTGAATGCAAGATACTTGAAGAAATGAGGAGTAGTAGAAATGCTCAATTATTTAGAACCAATTTGATATATGTTTAATCATTTCTTTAAAATTATTAAACTACTATACAATAAATGAGTCTTCAAAATAATAAATTTAAAATAATTTGATTTAATTAAAAATATTGTAACATTGATACTATTATTATAAATAAAAAAAATTATTATAAATAATAAAATTAAAGTAAATATAACAAATATATTATCAAAACTAGTAAATCTTTAGAAGTTCAAGTTCATAATTAGAATAGAATTTAGTATAAGCTCATTTTAATCATTTTAATTTATGCATGGTTGTAAGTTTTACATCCTTTGTAAATATTTTGCATTATTAAACTTTAAAGTTGTATTGTTAGTTATAATGAATTTTTATTGTTTTTATATTTTATGCAATTATGAAAAATATGCTAAAATATTTTAAATGAAATTAAAGATTATTAAAATATAATTTTTTATATAAATTATTAGAAATATATATACATAAATTATATTAGAATTTCAATTTTTTGATAGAAATACAAGATAAGTTTAATTTTTCTGTAATTTTTTAGTATAAAAAATTTATAATTTATATAAAACATCTTTAAGAAATAAGTATAATATTAAATAAATTGTAAATTAATATCATAGAAAGGTTTTTGTACTTAAATTGGATGATGTATTCTACTAAAAAACAAAATTGTCTTTAGGATCTAAAATAAATGAATTATTGATATATTATTTTTTAAAAAAAATTAAAGGATTATAATAATAATATATCTTAGATTTCTATTATAATCTGAAAATAACTTTTAGTTATGATATTTACAAATCTAAAGTACTAAATCTTAAGATATAATTTATAAATAAAACTATAAATTTTTATTTATGATTTTTTATTTCTTTACTAAAGATACAAAGCTAAAAAAATTAAAAAGATAAAATTTAAGAAAAATAAGGTTCTTAATTTTAAGAAAGATACAAAAATAAAAATAATTTCATTCTTAAATTGTTCTAAAATTGAATTATCCAAAATTATGGTTTTTAATTTTTATTTTTTAACTCTTATCATATTATACAAGTTGAATTTATAAAAACAAAATATGAGATAAAATTTATCTATAAAATAGCTTAGAAGTTTAAAAAACTATTCTACGGATTGCTTAAAAAAATAAAGAAAGTTTAATATTATTTTAGAGGATTATGGGCACTTCCAGAAGAATATAGAAGGTTCTTAAATACTTCTAGACAATGATAGAAATTTGTAGAATCAATCAATTTTTCTATAAAATTTTAGATGATTTTAAAAACTATAAAAGTAATTATAGATTTTAAACTAATTTAAGTTATTATCTTATAAAAGCTATTGTGTACTAGATTATATTTAGGGCTATTAACCAAGTCTATAATAAAATTAAAATACACACATAACACATGATAAATATTGATTTTTTTTAAACTAACAAGTATTTCAGAAATATGTTAAACATCTTCTAGAAATTTCTTATCAAATAAATATATAATAAGTTTGAATTTTATATATATGCTATAATATACTACAAAGCACATTGAAATAAATCTAACATCTCTTATTCCATTAGAAGAAAATCTAAGAATGCAAATGCATAAAGAAATCAAATGCATAAAGAAATCAAATGCATAAAGAAATCAAACGCTTTATTCAACCACCGCATACAAGCAAATCATATTGAAGATTTTATCTTTAAAATTATTCACAAGATTTGACTTAACATGAATGTAAAGTTAATTCCAATGAAAAATAAATGATATATATATATATATATATATATATCTTTTTAATATGAAATAAATCCAATATAACTAATATATATTATGGATTACATCAATTTGATTTAATCAAGAATCAATTAAATATTATATAATAATTATTCCTAAATATTTAAAAAGATGTAAATAAAGAAATATCAATAGAATTGTTTCTTTTTAAACCAAAAACTTATATATAAATCTCTAAAAATATTATATTTTATAAATATTTATTCAAATTATATTACAATATAAGTTATATTTCAATCTTTATTTAATTAATTTATAAGTCTACTTAATAAAGAAATATAGTTGAAACTATTATGTATTAAGAAACTTACTTTAATAATCTTATATAAGTTAGATCCTATAAAGAAGTCTTAAATGATTATTTTTGATCTTTAAAGCATTGATAAATTTTGAAAAATTATATTGCCAAATTGTAGAATTACAACAAAGGCTT